AAAAAAAAAAAACATGCATGCATGTGTTCTGAACACACACGTGGAAATAGGTGTGGCATGAGCATTTCCCCCAGAGAAGAAATAAACCATTTGTTATACCGTATTTCTTTACTATAGCAATGACGGACGAACCCGAAGCAGTGCCTGATTAAAATGGCGCTTCTCAACCTGAGGTAAAATGGCGTCATCAGCCATCTCACGTACAGGCATTAGCACCGCAGCCTTACACAATTCAGTCAAATCCGACCCGGTGTATCCATTTGTTTTCGCTGCTACGAAATCAATTAAGTCATTTTTCTGTGGATTACCCTCCAAATCGTTCGCGAGAAGTATTGTCAATATCTTCCGACGGCCCGCCAGGTCTGGTGGGGGCACCTCTAACTGCAGAGGTAACCGACGGCGTATGGCATCGTCAATACTCATAGGTCTGTTTGTTGCCCCAATCACCAAAATCCTGGACGTACTCTTGGTGATTCCATCCCAATGGGTCATGAATATGGTCTTCGCGTGGTTGTGGGGAGCAGAATCCATGACGTTTCGAAATCCAAGGAGCGCATCGATTTCATCAACAAAAATAACAGAAGGTGCTATCTTTTCCGCCAGTGTGAAAACAGCCGCGGCATTCTTTTCAGTATCACCTACCCATTTGGAGAATAGAGACTCTGCCTTGACGTTAATGAAACTGCAGCCGAGTTCCTTCGCCAAGGCACGCGCCAACAAGGTTTTACCAGTACCAGGAGGTCCGTAGAGCAAAACGCCTTTGGGGTGCGATCGCAGAGTCTTTCCAGAGAATAATTCCGGGCGGGTAAACGGCCATTTCACGTGTTCAATAAGTGCAGTTTTTATATCCTCCAGGCCTCCCACGTCAGTGAAATCCACATCAATCTTACTAGTATCAATTATGCACTCTGCAATAACCTCCTCTGCATGATCCAAATACACAATACGGCCCCCCAGAGTGACTTTCTTTGCGCTGTAGCCATGATGGTACGCCAGCTTGCGAGCCAAATAAAGCAAAATGGAAATGTACATCCAAAAGAAAAGTGGGGTTCCTTTAACAGCGCGAACAAATCGAGAAGTCAGATTCCTCAGAACCTCTGTCATCGACTTCACTCCCATGGTAAACATACCGCTAACGCTACTCATTGTATGCACTAAGAAAGAAGAAACTACAGAATGAGAAGGAATTAAAAAAAAAAAATTGAAACGAAAACAGCCAACAAAAAAAACAAATTCAAAATAACAAGATTGTCATATATATATATTATATATATATATATACATATATATATATGCTGATACATATATACAGATGTATTCAGAAACAAATATATATGTATATATTTAGTATTGTCTGTCTCAACAAAAAAATGCCTTATTTCTTTTCATAGAGCAAAGGTCCGCGTCATGTGAGCCGGAAGTACGGTGGTCCGAAAACAAGAAATCAACAAAAAAATAATTGACACCATATCACATATATCAAGCAAGCCACAACTTGACAGCACACACTCCTTTTGGAAACAAATAAAAACTCTTTTCATCCTTGATGCGACGTACATCACAATGTAAGGAAAAACAAACAAACTCGCCAATTTGTGCAAAAACACCCACTTCTTGAAGCGCACCTTCCGTCCGCAACAGCAAAAATAACCCCGCCTTTCATAAGAACTCCTCATTCTCGTGCAACCCCTATAAAACAAAACAAGGAACTGTACGGAGAAAAAGCTTCCTCATTATAAAAAGGCCGGCCCAAGTACAACTCAAGCAAAGCTTCTCTTTAGTTTAGTACTCTCAAGTTTGACAATTTCAGATTTGCGGCCGATCAATTAGCGTGCCAAATAAGAGCGGTCTATGTTTGAAGGATCAAAACGGCAATCGGTTCGGCCCCATAGCCGCCGTTGATGGTCGGTCCATACAATTCCTGACGAATAAAAAATCCAGAGGAAAGCACCTCCCCATCGTATTCCCCTGCGTATAACCTGGCAGCAAGACCCAGGCTAAACATTCAAAACGAAACAAAGCACGCTAACCTAAAAGACTAAAAAAATAAAAGAAAAAGAATGAAGTATAGTCCCTGAAGGCGCTCAGCATCAGACAGGCAAGCGGAAAAAAAAGAAAATGAGATTAAGACAGATTTTCAAATCCCCTAAAAAAAAAAATTGAAAGAACTCAATGCTTCAATGTACTTTTCAATTCCCCCGAGTTTTTTAATTGCAAACATATGTCATAGCCGCCGATAAGCTCACCATCCACATAAATCTGCGGAAATGTGGGCCATTCGGAAAACTTCTTCAATCCCTCACATACTTCGTCACTTGTCCAAACATCGTAATAAATAAATTTTATTCCGAGTTCATGAAAAATCTCTACAAGCTTTCCGGTAAAGCCGCAGCGAGGCCTTGAGGGTGTACCTGTAATGAACGCCACAACACCCTTGCGTGAGGTAAGGTACTTTATGTACTCATTGAGATCAGGGAATGTCTCTTTCCTGTCTTGGCCAGTGCCATATAATGAAATCAGGTTCATCTCCAATTGATCAAGTTTACAGCCCACCAGGTCTGCAACCCTTTCTTGTCCCTTATCTCTCTGAGAAGTCCTGAAAAATGTGATAAACGGAACACAATCCACGTTCTCAGCTTCGCACACATCGCCCAAGAGCTCGGAGTTAACCTCTGCAAACAGAACACTGTCCTTGTATTGCGGCAAACACTCCTCCAATGCCTCGTTAACATCCTTGCATGGCTCGCACCACCCGGCGCTGAAGTGAACGACAAGTCCCAAATAGTCACTCGCCTCTTTTTTTAGGTTTGCGTAATCCTCTGCAGAAGACACACGGCGAACAGTCATTATGGAGGCAAGAAAAGCGGAAAAAAAAGTTCGTATTTTTTTTTTGTTTTCTCCCGTTGGCCATTGTCAAAAAAAGGACGAAGAAAAAAAGAAAGAATAAGAGTTTGAAGCAAGGTGCAAACCCCAGGCCTTGCAAGCGGAAGCGATTAGCCAATGCTTAACAAAACGCCTCAGACCCAGAAACCAACCAAACATCGAACAAAACCCCGAACACAATGGAAACTTCAGTGCACCATCCAAGGCACACCCGGTTCTGCCACGCACGACAGTACACATCGGGTTGAAAACCCATTTTTTCAACAGAACAAATGATTAAGATACAAATCATAACCTTTATTCTCTGGTGGCAGTTTTGCTAGAAAAGCAATGCGACGCGCATGCGCAGAGGTGAAAAACAATATCAAAAACACATCAACGCTCCATCACCACCATCTCAAAAGCACAATCACAAAAAGAACAAAACCAACAAAATCATCCAGCACAACCAGAAGAACACACACCACCAGGCACTACCAACACCTCAACCAACGGCATTCGCCAAAGAAACCGCGAACCACACCTTCACTTTCCGCGTCCACCCCAGCCCCTCCCAACCCGTTTTTTTTTTT